GCAAGATCCTCCAGAATGGGATTTCATAGTTTCAATCAACTACTAAATAATATTGTCTGAAAATCCTAACGCTCTTCTAATGTCCTCCTTTCGAAAATATAAATAATCTCGTACTACAACTCTCGCGCGTCTTTTTTAGAAATCTGACCTCAAAACTCCTCTCCCTTCAGGGAGAAAAAGGAAAATGGGAAACTATTTTAATCGAGAGAGTAATTCGAAAACCCTTGTGACCTAGTCTGGACAATGCGCTGCTTTTAATTTTTGCAATGAGAATTTTTGCGCCTGCATATCTAAGTAAAGTATCCCGCGCGACGTCTTCGGGTTCGATCGAGCGTGGTGCATTTAAGGGCAAGATGTAACGGAGAATAGGGATGCGCGAGGGACATGAAGAGCATATATGCAGCTGTCTATCTTCCAAGTGGCATTAATAGGTCTTTGTTTTGCTGCACAGAAGGGAAAGGGAAGAGTGGAAAGGGAAGAGATGTAGAGGGGTAAGAGGGAGGGAGAGAGAGGGAGAGAGAGAGAGAGAGAGATATGCCCAGTGCGTCGTTCGCGCGGTTCTATTATTCGAATGTGGAGCAGATATCGGTTGTCGATATTGCCATTCGCCCGTCTAAATATCCGATCGATCCCTTTTCTCGCGTCTCTGTAATCACCCCAACACCCTTCGAGAGCACCGCTTCAACCATTCTCTCTCCCTTTCGGTCTTTCTTCGTGCGTCTTCCGCCGACGGCAATTCCGTATTCTCGTCTCGACTTCCTCCTCATCTATTTTCCATCTCTCTCTGTCTTTCTTTCTCTCACCGTGAACGGTCGTTATCACGAATGGCAACCTAACTCGTGATAATGAGCTCACGTCGGCATACGGCACGTATCGCTCGATCCAACAATACCGAATGATTGTTCCCGCTGGAGACGAGAACACGCTTTTCTCTCCTCGCTTTTGGATATACGTTAATCGCGCCAATGGCTTGGTGAAAGAAGTGCCGACTTGAACTACTGGAAAAGTTAAGCTGTATCGTGGTTTACACAGAAGAATATCTGAGCATTAAAAACTGAGCTAAAATTGCAGTGTACCGTCTATCGCTTTAATGATTCGATAAAGACATAATTAAAAGATCTTTTACAGATTGCTACAGTCGCGCTACAATAATACTTTTGTTCGTTACATTTATGAAATGCTTTATTGAACAATTCTCTCTGTTGCTGTGTGTCCGGCATAACAAAATTGTTCAGTGCCATCTTGGGCACTACGGCATACATGGCTTTATTTTTTCAATGGTTTTTTTTTCATTGTTTATGACTTTTTTATCAATAAAGATACATACATGGCATTTGCTTGGTACATTAAAAAAATTTACTAAATTTTATTTTTTTTTTAGTGCTAAGTAAATATTTACTTACAATAAGTAAATATCCATTCAATAAATAAAAATAAAAAATGAGAGTTGAATCAAATTAATGTTCTTATCCTAAATAAATATATATTTACATGTAGTAAATATTTACTTAAAATTATTCAAATATTTATTAAAATTTAATATCTTTTTCAGTGTACTGTTATATTTATAAAAGTTATAAGCAATCAAATTGAATCATAAACTTCAACAATAAGCCGATATAAGCTGATATAAAAATAACAGAGTGTAGAAATCTTTTATTTATACGACTAAAATAGACATTTCGATCCTTTTGGGTCATCTTCAGTATAGAGCCAACGAATTAACAATTAAGTACTAAGCGTCACATTTAAAATCGATAGAAGTCGAGAAACTTTAGTGATGCGTGGTGTCAATCAAAAACGTATTAAATCAATCACGTATTAAAATTTCAAATATAAAAGTCCAGAAATAAAAATCGTCAAATATCTTAGTGAGATAAATCACTGTCCCAGTGACCGGACATGCACCTACCTATGTCCGAACATAAAATTTATTATTAATCTCAAAGACTTTTTTTTATTACAATGTCTTTTATTACAATAAGATAATATTATAACTTAATTGTAATCTTCAAATATTTACAATAATTTAATTGTATTTAAGGATTATATAATATATAAGGATTATATATATATAATTAAATTATAATATTATATTTTAAAAGCTACTTGAAATTAATAATAACATAAACAAATATATATATATATAAAATTTTATGTAAATGTCTGAACATAGATACATATCCGGTCACTGAGACGTTTATCTTATTTGGCAGAATACTTGAATAGTGAGTCAGAAATTAAATTGGAATATTAAAACAAAACTACCTTAATATACAATACCTTAATATACAAATTAATTAAAAACTTATAGTAAAAGACCAATCGAATTGAGTTAGGTATGTCATATTAAATCAAGTGCATCGTTCTCATAACGTTAATGCACCAAAAGGTTAAATTTTTTTTCTAGGGCATTCTAGAAATATATAAAAGCAAAAAAACCAAAGTTGCAAAAACGTTGCAGATTGCGCTCGATAGAAATGGAAATAGCGACGTCTTTCTACGGGAATATCCACATTGATTATCGGGCGCACGATGAACAGATAAGTCTCCCTCTCGTTAAAACGGTAATTTAATTATTCCCTAGTCGCTTCTCCACAGCGCTTTCGGATTCCGTTTTCCTCACATCCATGCCTGCGACATCGTCACGTTATCATGACCGCCGGCTGTCGACGATAATGAGCTCGCGGGTGTCTCTCCACCAGGCGATGTCGGATAATACCGCGGATATAGTGCGAAGCGAGAATACGGAGAGGCTGCGGAGAGTCCATCGAGCGTTCCGGATATTTCGATCGCGGGACGTATTGGCACACGATAAACCAGCAGTATAAACTGGCAGGTAGTTGTAGCCAAGTCAATTGACTTAACTGCCATACGTATATCTCCCGTGTGGCGGGAGTTTATATGTGACGCGACAGTTTTATTCTACAAAAGAATGTTCTACTATATCGTTCGACAAGAGTCGTTATCAGAGCACACGGTAAATGCCCAGTCTTTTGAGCCTTTTCTTTGAGTTGACGGGGCGCCTTTGCATGATTGAAAAATTAAGATTGAAAGATTAAGTTTTTTTTTATGTTATGTCATTCGATTTGAATTATAGATATATGACCTGTCAGAAAACTCCTGTGTTATCTCGTAATAAATACTTGGGAAACTAATGATCATAAAACTTGAAATATTACTTATTGTTAGACGAGTTCTTATTTTAAATCTAGTTTAAGTAATGTCTTAAAATGCGAATATGATTCTGTGATTAGTTCACGATGTCTTAAAACTACTCTCTACATTCTTTGAAGTAGAATCTTACTCTAAAAAGTGAAATTAAGCCAGCCTTAAAAAGGAATGGCTCAATTTTCAATCTTTAAAAGTATTATAAGATTTCACTCTTCAAAAGGGATAATTCACTCTAAAAGTTTTAGAGAGTATATTTAACCATCTAGACAAGGCATCATCTTGTTATTAGAGAAACATTTTTTTCACTGTTTTTGCTAGAAAAAATGAAATTTATCGATTATGATGAAAAAAAAGATCTGCTCATACAAACATTTCTGAACAGATAAGATTTTGTTTTAACGACCGCCATTTTGTGGCGACAAATTAAACTATCATATTACTAAAAATATAGAGACAGTTGATACAATGTGCAGAACGATATGAAAACGCCTCGGTGAATATATCTTTCTTTCCATCATGACATCAATATTTATACTATTAATATACATCAATATATAATTTTTCTGGCGGTTAGAAGTATTATATTTCAGTGTTCAATGCTACATATATTTCTATCTTTAAATGTAACCTGCACAGATCACAATTTTTCCCGAATTTAATTTAAAAATAAACATTAGAGGTACATGGTTGTCACAAATTCTTCATCCCAAAATTCCATAACATTTCCCTTATTTTCAGACAAAATTTCATAATTTTTCTCTAATATTTTCAATAACACTTTGAAATTTCTTGTATTTTCGTCCTGATTTGAAAATCGTAAAATAATTTAACACAGCAATGTAAATTACTAATATTAATGCTGCTGACACTACTTGCATTTAATTAGTGTAGTATTTCTAAACTGCGTAGATATGATATATTCATATTAAATCAAGAATTTTTATTTTACAGAAAATTTTGCAAAATTCCTCGAATTTTCCCTGATTTCTTTGACGTTTCAATATTCCTGATATTTCCCTGATTTTCAATTTTGTAGCAATTCTGATGTTACATATACAAAACTCATCCCTAGAAGGTCAAAAACAATATAAAATATAAGAATCAACTATAAATATACCAGCCTTAAAGACTCTAAGAATCTTTGTCTTTAAGAATATCGAAAATTGGAATTGAAATCCTAAAAATATCGTCCTTGAAATTCATTTTTATACAACCTAAGTAAAATTGAAGGAGATAATCGATATTTATTTAAATTGCCTTAAAATTCGAAAATAATGAAAGGATTGGAAATCGATGGTGGCCATAGAAATATGTTGGTACTTTGTAAAATCTGTTGCGCCAGTATTCACTTTATCCTGCACCTCGGGCTTCCGTGAGAATAGTCGAGTATCTCATTCCAGCTATCAACGAAAAGGCCGACGGATTATTGCGCCGGTCGGTATTTATCCGACGGATTATCCACGATTACTTGACTCGTGCGGCCGGGAAATCCGCACGCCTGAGTGTAAGACCAACACTGTCGAAAATTAACCAATCCCGTTCAAGGATTTGGTAGTTTGCGGCATTTTTGCGTGGTTTTCGCGAACGCCCAGATTAGGAAACATTGGTCAAAATCTTTCGACGAGCATCGTTAACTCAATATCTCGACTGCGAGCTGAAGAAAGAATAAATTTGACACGCGCGAAAAATTCTCGCAATTTGTCAAGTTCAAGATGAAGATCACGATGAAACTACACGTTAATCCGCCAGTTAATCCGAAGCATTAGAGGCGACAGCCTTGGACCGTGGTTGGATTAAATACAAAACGTCTGACAGAAGATACTAACCATGCTCCACGTAATAACTGGTCTCGTTGTACCGCTCGTCCGTGAATCCCGGCCTCTTCGCTTTCAGCGCTTTCGTTTCCAATTTTGCCTGAAACAAAGAACGCAGTAGATAAGTGAGTGGTCCATGGCTACGTGCAACTTCGCGGTATCCGGTATACATGGAATAACTGCGCTATACACGGACGTAAAAGATATAAAACAATAGAGATTCGTGAAATAATAGCGGGGCTTTGACACTGAAAAAGATAGTCAAAAATGACGAGAATGAATAAATGTCATTCTTAGTGATAATGACGCGAAAATACACTGTGAGAATATCCCTAGCTATCAAGCGTCCTTAATTTCGAGAGAGAGCAAATTGTATTTTTGCCGGGAACGCGCTCTAGTTTTTATTCCGCTGAATAATATCCGCGGCAAAAATCGTGGTTATGTCGGATTTATGGCGGACCCGATTAAAAACGGAGATATACATGCCGACGTTATTTGTCACTTGCGACTGAAATAAAGGGCGTAGTAGATAAGTGGAAGAGCTAGTCAGACTGGCGGCTCCATACACGCCGCGTACACGAGAGAGCCTGACGTATGGCGACGATAAATTTATCATACAAAAAATGCAAGCATTTCCAGACAATAAGAGTGCACGGGACCACGCGACAACAGCGGGTAGTAGAAAATAGAAACTTACGGCGCGATTTCGCGTGCATTGTGGCCCGCAGCAAGCTGGCATCCATTTATTGAATTAACATGTGGACGTTTATTTATGGCGTTTATTTACGAAAAAGAATTATGCGGGATCTCGTCCGTCAAAATGGATCGGTCGCAAAGAAACGTACATTTTGGAAATACATTATAAAATTTAAGATCTCATTTGGAGAAAGCACCAGTGTGCACCGATATGAATCCCGATAGCGACGATAAATCTTTCAAACGACCAAAAGTTCTATCGTCCGCATCGCGAAAACCCGCGAAATTTTCTTAACGGCACACTCGACATGTACTAAAGAAATGGCTTCAAATTTAGTTCATTTTGAATCAAATTGTATGCCAAACGATGCTGTATGAAAAGATATAAATCTCAGAAAGAATTAAGTTGAGCATAGACTCAGTTTTGTAGATATAAGAAAAGATATTTAGGAGACTTTTTTATGCAGAATTTCAAGACAAATAACTTTTATCCTAAACATATTTTCATATGTGCGCATTCGTTTTTGAAAAATTTAATTAAAATTTTTTGGAGATAGTTTTATTATTTTTTTTTTAATTAAGCAATAGGATTGGAGGAATCAGAAAACTATTCTAACTAATTCTAGTCAAAATCCTATTATTATCAAAGAAATATTAACTTTCTTTTTGTGTCTAAGTACTTGAACAATATTGAAAACATTGAGAATTTGACCAATTTGACTCCCTATTTTGACTCTCCAAAATTATCCTTAAGCTGAACTTACTTCTTCTGAACTTCTTCTGAAATTAATGTCCCATCACTCTCTTTTAAATCTTTGCAGTAGAATCTGATTCTAAAAAAATCTCATTCTTAAAAATTGACAATTGAGCCACTCTTTTTCAACACTAGTCACTCTTTGATATATTCATAGTCCATTCTTATTTTAAGACTATCTTAAGTAATGTCTTGAGATGCTAATGCGGCCCTCTGATTGCCTTATGAGACTACTGTACTTAAGACAGCTACAAATATAAAAATTGATTATGAATACTGGCCTCTGATTGGTCCATGACACCTTGAGACTTAAGACGATTCTAAATCTAAAATCCTATGAATATCGCGCGTCTTTTATCATCCTTTAGAATTCCACTTAAAAGATTTTAGAGAGTACGGCATCTTTTGGCATACGGATCGATTCGGAATTTAAGGGCAATAAAATACATAGGATAAAAAATGTATGTACTTTGGAGGAATTTTTTATGCGATCGTAACAGATAGGAGACACGGAAACGGCGAAAAAATACCGGGATTAATTGTTATGCGCAGTTAAAAAAAAACTCATGAACACCGTAAGACCAAATGACCGAAATTACACAATGTTACCGTCGACGCGAAGCTGCCAAGAGTACGACGTAACGAGATAAATGCAACTTTGCATAAATGTGGCGCGATGTCGGCAAAATGAGAACGCGGGTTGGAAATGCCATCGAAGCGCGTGCGCCTAATTAAAAAGTAAAACGTTACATAGCCTCGCATACACAGTACGTTACGTGCACGTGCATAATGCGCCGCATTTTCGCCCGTTTTGCATCCGGCGAACTGGCTGCCGACGCTACCGCTTTAGTTTGAGGCTCGGCGAACCATGATATCCCCGAATCGCGATATAGAACGCGCGATTAACGAAACAAGCGTAAATCACTGGAATACTCGCCGACTGATTCAGAAATTCCCTCATTAGAACAGTTCGCTCCACGCATTCTGTCAGTGAATTTGGCTACTATCGCGAGAATCGTTGCGATGTCGAGCATTAATTTGGACAAATATTAAGATACATACTTGGTACTTCGTACTCAAACCCGAAGTAGTGGCTTGCTCATAGGTCATTTTCTACTCTGAATGTTTCTTAAGCCATGTTCACACTTGCAATAAAATATCATAACTACACCATCGCATAAACACAAAGTGTTCGTGAACATTTGAGCGCAACATAATTTCGATGCAAGCATCCATTACGTTTAAATGTTTGGTGCGATGTTACACGGTGTTGCGCGGTGTAATCAATGTTACGATGAATGTTAACTTTTGAAGGACGGCATTTATCATTTAAAAAACAATTATTGCTTTTGCTCAAAAATAACAAGTAAAAAAATGCAAATAAAAAATCTATTAAAAAAGTATATATATATA